TGCGGGTGGGCTTGGGTTCTGAGGTTGCATTTTGTTCCTTCTCATCATTTTGTGTAGCACTGTCTTCTGCCCTTTGTTGTAGATCTTTGCTGTAGGTATAACCTTCGCACGTACTGAAGTTCAGGTGCAGCTCTATAAAGTTTGAACTTATCCAGCTGTGCTTGACTTGGGTCTGGTTGCTGTGCTCAGCTCCTTCCCGCTGCTGCCCTTGAGGGTGAACCTGTTGTGCCCCTGTGGCAAGATGTTCTGCTCCTGAACTAGCTGATTGGATCTATCCTCTACACTCTCTGCGGGGATTGCAGCTGTAGGGTTACACCCCTGGCTTGTATGCCAGGCCTGAGCTGTGCCTGGAGGGGGCAAGGTGGAGTAGCGGGGAGAGGAAGCTCTCCCTCACACTCATTGGGTCTGGGCTAGGACTGGGTCTGGGGGTTCCCAGAACGCAGCAGAAATTCCTACTTGGCGGGTGGGTTGGGGGAGGTGCTGCGGAGTGGTGGGGGGCATCCCAAGGGGGTGGGAAAGGGTCTGGCCCACGCTGTGCCTGGGCTGGGACTGGTCCTGCCGGCGCAGGGTAGCAGGAAGCTCTCCCACACACTCACCGGACCTGGGCTACGACTGGGTCTGGGGGTTCCCGGAATGCGGCAGCTTGGTTGATTTCTTGACAATAGTCATTGTTTTGGGGGTGAGATGAAACTTCAGTGTTGTTTTAATTTGCATTTCTTTAATAATGATATTGAACATTTCTTCATATAGTTATTTGCCATTTATATTTTTTCATCTGAGAAGTATCTATTTATCTCAGATTTCCAGTTTTGGATTGGGTCTTTGAATTGTGGCATCCTGATTTTTAAAAATTCTTTGTGTTTTCTAGGTAGAAGTCCTTTGTCTGAGGGACCATTTGGTATAATTTTTCCCCAATTCATGGGTTTTCTTTTTACTCTGTTGGTAATTTCTTTTGAAATGTAGAAACTTTTCAAAAAATGAGATCCCAGTTGTTGATTCTTTGAAGTGTTTCCATGAGTTTGGCTTTTATTTGTATTCCAAGGTGGAAAGCAGAGAATAGCAGAACTCTAAGGAGATAAGTGACTTTCATGGCCTCTTAATAATCCTCATCCCAGCTCTTGAAGAATAAAACAAATGTTTCATCTCAGAAATAAGTGACTATTCAAAGGTCACACAATGAGCGGGTAAATAAAGAGAAATACAGCATTTTTTGGACAAATCAACCCCTGGTTGAAAAACAAGGATCCCTTAGAAGATTGAATTTAGCCTTAAGAAAATCCCCTAAAGTACTGCTTATTTTCTTATAGTTCTCAATATAGTTCCTTCAAAATTTGCTAGAGTGATTTATTTACCCCATGGGTCCTAGATCATGAAAAATTTAGGAAACAAAGTCCCATGAAGTTAGGGAAGGTTTATTTCTACTCTCCCATTTAGAATTTTAATCTGGGCCTCTGTGAAAGACTACAAAGGCACTTTAAGCTTTAACAGATGGTTAGAGTAAAATCAAAGCCAGATTGTACAAGAGGTCATAGATTATGTAATGCCACATACATGAAATACCAGCAAAAGTCAAATCTGTAGTGAGTAGGCAGCTGGTTCACATGGGGCTGAGCATGAGAACAGGGCTTAATTGAAAAGAGTCATAATCTAATAGATAAAAAATGGTCTAAAAGTGGATTATGATAATGATTGTACAACTAGGTAAACTTACTAACAACTACCAATTTGTATACTTACAAGGGAAAATTTTATTTTATTTTATTTATTTATTTTCCTGTATTTTAGGGAAGAGTCTAAAATAGTTCAGGGTCTCACTACTAGACTGGACTCATAGTGACTCTCCTGTTTACAGCCTCCCAAGTGCTGGGATTACAGGTGAGCACCACCATGCCCAGTCTCAATTGCTGTCTCAATGCTCCCTAGGGGCAGGCCTGACAAGGCAGGCCCAAGGATCAAAGCCCTGGCCCCTGTGCCTGCTTTCAGGCACTTTAATCCACTGAGCTATTTGGCCAGCCCTAGAAGAGTGAATTTTATGATATGTAAGTTACATTTTGGGGGCAAACCAGGGATCAAACTGAGAACTTTGTGCTTACCAGGCAGGTGCTTAAGCCACTGAGCTATCTCCCCAACGTAAACTGCATCTTGATAAAGTCATTATACAAAAATAGAAATACACTCAGCCTCCCCAAAGCATACTTTCTGAGTCAAATAGGTTCTGACTAGGAGTCTTTTGATTTTCTACTAAGATAGGTTTGAAGGCACAGGAGAAAAAAAGAGGAATGTATGATCCTTTGAAAGTAAAACAAAGAGTTTGGGTCAAGTAAATGAGCTGAATGGAGAAAATGCTCTGATTTGGGTACATTTCCCCCAAACTCATGTGTTGGAGACTTGGTCGCCAGTTTATGGGCCCACTTGGAAATGGTGAAGCATTTAGAAGGAGGGTCTGGGGGAGAACCTGAGGTCACTGGGGCCTTCCCAGGAGAGGACTGTGAACTCCATCTCCTCCCATCCTCCTTTTGGCACCCTCGCAACCAGAATGTGAGCACCTGATTCTGCCATGTGCTCCCACCATGACTCATAGCCTTGCCACAGCCCCAAAGCGATGGGCCAACTAACTGTTAACTGAGATCTCCAAAATTATTAGCCAACATAAACCTTCCCTCTTTTAAAATTGGTTACCTCAGGTACCTGCTATAGCAATAGAAAGCTGACTGACATAGGAATGAATTAAGAGACTGCATAAAGAAAGATCCACCAGGTCTCTTCAGTAGATGACCCATGACACAGGGATGAGGTCACATATGACCTAGGAAATGAGGCATCTGTTCACCTGTCTGACAGCTACTTAGAAGTCCTCTCGGAGGACCCATCTTAACACCCTCTTGCTCGCTCTCACCAGACCATTTTTCAATAGCTGACAGGGCAACAGAATCACAGTCCACAGTGCACAAAGAAGGAGACAGCAGTGCCGCCTTAAATCCAGTGAGGTATGGTCTTCCACAGCAAGAGTCACACATGCCCTTGTTTGAGGAATTTCCATTAGGCTGAATGTCCATAGATGAGACAAATAAAAAAGCTGCTTCCAATAGATGGCATTAGTGGATCACATGTGGGTGCTGGATCTTTCCTATCCCACTGTTCCTTTAACTACAGTAGATTTTATCACATCTAGGCTTACTTTATTTATTTATTTATCTATTCATTTATTTATTTTTGTGGTACTGGGGATCAAACTCAGGACCTTGTGCATGCCAGTCAGGCACTTATGCCACTGAGCTGTATACTCTGCCCAATAAATAAAGACAGGTAGAGGGTCTCACTACACAGCTCAGATTCATAGTGATCCTCCTGTCTCAGCCTCCCCAGCGCTGGGATTATAAGTGTGCACCACTAAGCCCAGAATTGGTGACTATCTCAGTGCACCCAGGGACGGGGAGGGGCTGGCAAGGCCTGTGGTGTCGGGATCAAACCCTGGTCCCTTCACTTGCCTAAGAAGACACTTAGTCTGCTGAGCTATCTCACTGGCCCTTTAGGTTCACTTTAAAAGTGTTTTATGAATATTATTTACCTCAATTATGTCCAAAGTAGTGATAATTTTGAAAGCTAGGGGGCCTGGCCCTAGCTCAGGCCTTTAAGTGGCTGCTTCCACAAAGCTGTCAGCCTCAGGTTGCTGGAGTTCGAACCTCACAACTCTCCCGCTGGCCAA